CAATTGTTTTGGCATTTTCTGCATCTCAGCCATATAGAGTACAAGGCAGTTCTAACTTAGTCATTCTGTCAGGAGGATAGAAATACTCTAGTTTTGAAAGAACTGTTTAAACAGAAGTGATATTCTAAAGTTCTTATGCTGCAAATGGCCATTCCATATGGAACCTTTGCATTGTAATTTATAGATATTTGATTAGCAGCACATGCATGCCTGAAGCTGCATTGTGATGGTTATCACAGATATGGTACAGAAACCCGCGTGTAGCCATACTAACCAGACCTTTCTGTGACCTAACAGCTTAGATGTCAGACTAGGGATTGAGGAATAAAAGGTTCGGTTACAAGTGTACAAATGACTGCATCTGCTTCGGTGTCACCTTGTGCTCCCTATCTCCCAGGAGTGCAGAAATGGAAGGCCTGGGTCCTAAGACCACAAGTACAGCTGTGAAAAGTGTATAATCGTTCTCCCATAGTAGCACTGTCAGATCAAGGCCAAAAGTTCTTTTTGAGTTTCACCACAAAGCAAGTGGTGGGGAAAGTGCATCTAGTCTTGCTAATGTCCTGAAACTGGGGGACACTGCTCCCATTGATAGGGTGGAGTTTATGGAGACAATTTTAAGGCTGGGAGTTTCCCAGGCTCAGCGCCACACCGTCCTCTCCTCACCTAGGTTTCCGTTCACTGCTCATTGTGCCCACACCCAGTTTTGCAGAGGACTTTCTGTGAATGTGTAGTGTACAAACACGCATACTCTCTTTCCTAAGCTCAGGAACTTAACCCTCAGTAAGCTTAAGCTTTCAGGAAGGAAAAAAGAAAGAAAAGTAGGTATTCACAGAAGGGCTGGGGACTCCAGACGTCAGCATTAAAGGTAGGTCTAAAAAGGGAGTAACAGAATTGCCTGTGAGGACAAGTTTTGTGAAGTGTAGTGTATCTTTTTTTTTTTTAAACCAAGAAGATGAGATTTAATAAAACTTTTTTTTTTTTTTTTTTTTTTTGGAGACAGAGTCTCGCTTTGTCGCCCAGGCTGGAGTACAGTGGCGTGATCTCGGCTCACTGTAAGCTCCGCCTCCCAGGTTCATGCCATTCTCCTGCCTCAGCCTCCCGAGTAGCTGGGACTACAGGCACACGCTGCCACGCCCGGCTAATTTTTTGTATTTTCAGTAGAGACGGGGGTTTCACCATGTTAGCCAGGATGGTCTCGATCTCCTGACCTTGTGATCCGCCCGCCTTGGCCTCCCAAAGTGCTGGGATTACAGGCGTGAGCCACCGCGCTGGACCATAAAACTCTTAAAAATCCTGCAAAATGTGAAATACTAGCTACGCTATTACCATGTTTGTACATTAAGAAGGCATTTTGCTTTGAAGCCAGATTTAGTTTTACGACTTTTAAGGTACTATCAAGTTTTAAATTGGTCCCAAGATTTGGAAAGTACACTCCTTCCTAGAGCCTGATTGTTATCATTGGGCTGTGGTTACGAAAAGTTAGGGTGTTAACATTACCAAAATGAAGTCAGTGCCTTAGTAAATACAGAACTTTTTAAACACCCACCTTTAGTACGTACCATCTGAATAATTCTAGCATTTTCACATTGATTAGTCATTTGAAAAATCATAAAGATTATTAACAATTCATAGGTTAATGCAGAAAAGACAACTAATGAGTATAGCAAGAGATGAAAACAGTGTTTTTGTCAGATTCACAAATGTCATCAAATTCAGAACTGCCCTTTTGGTTGAATTAGTTCAACATTTTAGGTGTTTTTATTTCTCTTGCTGAAGGACTGTTTTAGGAGTGTTACTGTGAAATCTCTGTCCAATTTCCAATTAGCAGAGTAGAACTTTTGGTAGTGCGAACTCAGTAGTTCCATCAATGTGATCTTTGTAGTTTTAGGAAATGAACATAGTTTGCCCACAGTTCTTTTAAAAGATCTGAATAAACAAACATGAGTCAATATAACATTTATTCTGTATTAATAATCAGTACATAAATTAATTCAACTTGAAACGTTTTTTCTACAGAGTATTATTTAATATTATCATCTGATCCACAGTAATTTAGTACTAATTTTAATGAGAAAAAATTGAAACTTTTACTTTCATAATAGCTCATCCACTTAATGTTTTTACAAAGAACTACTATAAATATGTAACACTATGCAGGCTTTTTTCTACACCTAGTCACAAATCAAAAAATGAGCATACTGTTTATTTAAAAATGGAACACTTTCAAACTGCTGCTGTATTCAGATCACCACCTTCCCCACACCAAAATTAATTGCTCTCTCTGTGTACTCCCGTCTATGCCACTCATGTTGCAGCATTATCCATGACTCTTTGCCTTAACCCCAACCCAGTTGCTGTTGTCACTGCTCCCTAGGTTGAGCTCTTGGAGAGCAGGGAGCCTGTCCCCCTTATCAAATAGTGTTAGGTATGAGTTTTGCCTAATACGTGTGTTGAATTAAATTAAATTTAATTAGGACACCTGCATTTTATGTAGCTTCCTTCTAATTTTTGTAACTAAGGAGCATTACAAATTTTCTTTTCAAAAATGTACCATAAAATATACCATGGATTGAAATTTTGAACTATGTATAAGAGACTTCATGTTACCCAATAAAACATCATAGGAATTTGAACCTAAATAACTCTAAATCCTAAATGAGGATTTTTTTTTTTTAATGCAGAAATGGCAGGCAGAAAAATCAAATCCTGCTGTATTGAGTATCAGATGAAATTAGAAAGTAGACTACATATTTCAATAAAGTTGACATTAAAAGGATCTTTTCAAACAATGGGATTCTAAAGCCTGACAATTATTTTTAAAATTCTGTTGTAAACCTCTAAAAACATTCTTAACTATAAAAAATAAGGCAACTTGAAGTTAGAAATTTATGGATGAAGTTAATGCTGGATTGCATACAGAAGCCAATTTGGTGCCCTCATGATCCATATCTTTAATGCCTTTAGCAAGCCTGTTCACATATACTGGTGAAATAACAATGTCTCAGAAGTAAATAAAAGAGATTCTAAGACTCAACTAAATAGTAGACCAAGTAAGATCATCACAAACTTCATGCTGTCAAACACATTACCTTGAAGGAAAATTATGCAGACAGCTTTTCTGAAGAACTCCATTTTGTGCCACATGCTTATTATTCTTTGAGGTGGAGGAGGTGGCAGGGAACATAATTTCTGTTTGAAAGTTCTTTTGTTTTCTGCTACCTTTACTTAGGGTACTATTTTTATATCCTATAAAGTGCTTTGAAAAAATGTTAAGTGAATAGTGCTACATAAAATAGAGGAGAATTTTCACCTTCTCTGGGTTGTAAGAAGCAAAGTGAATAATACTTGACTCTTAAAAGAGGGATGATAATATGCTGAAAAAGTTAACACGTATCCAATAATCCCCATCCCCAACCCCCAGCCTTGTAAAATTCTGGGTTCAAAGAGAAACTTAATTATGGCTAATAAATAAATAAACATTCATTAAAAGCAGAATTTATACCACAGCAAATGTAAATGAAAATTCATGTGGTGTTCCTAATAATTATTTTAATGTCGTTAAATGGACATGAATTGAACCAGAACCTATTTATATTCACTTAATGTTTGCATATAAGGTCAAATTGCCTAAATACTATTACAAGAAAAATATTTTATGACTTTGAAGCCATCTAATTTCTGCATATTTCTATAACAATAAAACAATTTGAATCACCTTAGAATTCACTGTAATAGGATTTGGCCATGTAGCACATATAATCTGATTGAGACCAATTAATTTCTGAATTCCTTTTTCTAACTGAAATCGTACTTAATTCAACAGCTATTCTCAATAGAAAAACAGAAACCACTTAAGAATGAATGCAAGTAAAATATACATCTCATCATAAAAACAATCAATACATTCTAAACAAAAATATGTATTAAACCACAGTGAAAAAAGTAAAAACCTAGCATTAGATAAAATTTTACTTTCTTAACCAAAAAATTCAATACACATATTTACCATTTATCTGTTTTTTTTAAAATCCCCCAAAATATTTTCAATAACGGTAAGTGCTATACTTTTTGCTTGTTCATGAGATTATTAAACATTTACAATGCAGTGTATTGGCTTGGAGGCATCCTTGCAGTAAATGAGGACAGGATTCTTCAATACACTGTAAAATGCACCAACCTTAGTCAGGTTTTTAAAATTGTTCACTTTTAAATATGATAGTTGGTGGCTGTCCAAGTCCATTAGCACCATATATAGTGAGTTAAATAGTGTTTTCAGAGAAGATGACTTCGTCTTTTTTTTTGTTTAAAAGTTGTACAATTAAAAGAAATTGACTTCTTGGGTCATGTGTTTTGAATGACACACTTTTCATCTTGCTAAATTGAAGGATTCCACCCCCCCAAGATTATAAGCGTGAAGGTAGGAAAATCTGGGGGAAATATTTTTGCACTTCAGCAAAGAATCTTGCTAATAATATCCATGATTTGGTTCAATTTCAAAGTCAGATTAATTTCTTTTGATAGAGGTCTCAATATGTATTTACAGAAAGAAACGAAGCTGATTCTGTAGGACAAAATAGCAAATACTTTCTTTTTTTTTTTTTTTTTTTTTGAGACGGAGTCTCGCTGTGTCTCCCAGGCTGGAGTGCAGTGGCCTGATCTCGGCTCACTGCAAGCTCCGCCTCCCGGGTTCACGCCATTCTCCCGCCTCAGCCTCCCAAGTAGCTGAGACTACAGGCGCCCGCCACCACGCCCGGCTAGTTTTTTGTATTTTTAGTAGAGACGGGGTTTCACCATGTTAGCCAGGATAGTCTCGATCTCCTGACCTCGTGATCCACCCGCCTCGGCCTCCCAAAGTGCTGGGATTACAGGCTTGAGCCACCACGCCCGGCCTGCAAATACTTTCTATATGCAATCCATACACAATGCAAGAATTCACCCAGATCATTTAAAATCATCTAATTTGCATTCTTTCCTCCACATGGAGCTCTTGAACAAATACCTTACATCTCGTACTTCATCTTTATTACTTCATCTGTTTCAAGTAGTAACATAATCACTCAATTTACACAATGGGGGAATACACACTTTGAATCCTAACCTGTGAGGTAGGGAAGTGCATTGTGGTATTATGGCCATTTCACACAAGGAAAGATTGAAATAGGATTACTTTTTCAAAAAATATGGCAATCATTGATGAGATCAGATGCTTCCCTTTCAATATGTAAATAAAAATGCAAATAAGCCTTTCTCATTTTTGTAAAGTATATCTGGATTGAAAATAGTGATGAAGGCCGGGTGCAGTGGCTCACGCCTGTAATCCCAGCACTTTGGGAGGCCGAGGCGGGAGGATCACGAGGTCAGGAGATCGAGACCATCCTGGTTAACAGGGTGAAACCCCGTCTCTACTAAAAATACAAAAAATTAGCCTAGCGTGGTAGTAGGCGCCTGTAGTCCCAGCTACTTGGGAGGCTGAGGCAGGAGAATGTCATGAACCCAGAAGGTGGAGCTTGCAGTGAGCCGGATCGCGCCACTGCACTCCAGCCTGGGTGACAGCAAGACGCCGTCTCAAAAAAAGAAAAGAAAGGAAAATAGTGATGAAAAAGTTAATTGTCAATATCCATGTAAAATGATTTTTACTGGTTTCTCTCAACACACAGACAGGAAGTAATATTGACATTTAAATTATAATGTGCTTTAACTTTTCACTTTCTATTCACCCACATTCATGGCTCATTTTTGGCCAAAAATAAATAATATTTGCACTAGATTATTAGGATTTTCCAGGACCATTACTACCAGCCTGGCTTTGAATCTACTCTCGCCTCTTTGGAGAGAGGTTGATGAATATGGCTCTTAAAGAAGTAATTCTGCAAGATGAATCCTATATTATCTATGATAATTTAATTGGGAATTTTCCCTTCTTCTGGATGAAGAAGAATATTCCACTTGTTTTGTTTTTGCTGTTTCGTTTTTTAACTTTTCACAGATAAATCCATGCAGAAATGGATATATACAGATCTGTTGAGGCAGAAAGAAGAGAGGGAAAACCCACTCCTTGTTTCTACACTTTTGCACTTAGTAACAGTTTGCCTGATTGAAGGATTTGTGAATGGTTCTCCTTTTTTTTTTTTTCTTTTTTGAGATGGAGTCTTGCTCTGGTGCCCAGACTGGAGTGCAGTGGTGCAATTTTGGCTCACTGCAACCTCCACCTTTCGGGTTCAAGCAATTCCCCTGCCTCAGCCTCCCAAGTAGCTGGGATTACAGGCGCACGCCACCACGCCCAGCTAATTTTTGTATTTTCAGTAGAGACGGGGTTTCACCACATTGGCCAGGCTGGTCTCAAACTCCTGATCTTAGCTGATCCACCCTCCTTGGCCTCCAAAGTGCTGGGATTATAGGTGTGAGCCACCACACCCGGCCAAATAGCTCTTATAAGGGACTTAAGACTAGAAAACCACTCACGTTTAATTTCAATATGCGTATTCTGCACACTATCTGCTGAAATTGGGAAAATGCAATGTATTTTTTGAGTTAAGCCTACTGCTTAGGAATGTAACAATTACAAATCACATTCACAAAAGTAGCTCACCTTATTCACCATTTTAAACAACATATATGTGCACTGTAAAAATAAGTTTTTAAAAACTCAATGTGATGTTAGCCTATACACAGCTGAATTATCAAAAGGAAACCAGACTTTGTTATATCAGAGGTCATTAAAAAGCTTATGGCATACCATAAGTGCTCAATAAATACATCTTCCTCCCCCAAAGCACTCCAATCTCCATATGCCGTTTTAGCAACTCCCTGTATGTTATGTCACTTTATACTGCAATCTGTGCTGACTTCCTCCAATCCAGAAGTGACTGCATTTCAGTGGTAGAGTTTTATAAACTTGACTTAATCTTTAGCACTTCTGCGCTGGAATTGTACCTTTTAAGTTCTAGAGATGATAAATCTCTCATTTGTTACTGAGTAAGAAATGCCACAAATGTATAAAAGAATTCTTCATTAAGCTTGTTTTTCCTGCCATGACTCTGGAGAGTAAGTCACTGTAGAAGATTGTTTATTTTATTATCATCAGAGGCCATTTCATTAACCAGCTGTTCTACTGACAACTGAATAGCATTCTTGACAAGAGAAGAGGCTGTTTCAATTAAGAGTGTTTCATATTGTTCTGAAGTTCTATCCTCAAAACCATTATCATTAGCAAAAACCCCTACTTGCTCATTTTCAGTTGAAATTAAGAATTGCTTAGGGACATTTTTTGATTTCTTAACATCAAATTCACTGATTTCAGTGTCTGTAATAATAATAGCAATGGGCTCTATTCGTTTGCTTTCTTCTAATGTGGACTTCTCTTCAGTGATCCCATTTTCTTTAAAATCTGATTCTTGGCTCAATTCAGTATCTTTTGGCTTAGTTTCTTCAGCTACAATCTCTCTACTTTCATAGTCTTTCCCATTTGGTGCACTTTTTAGGATATTGTTACTGGCTTCTTCCATAATTTGTTGAGCTGGGATTGCAGGTAAAGGTGGAACATCAGAAAGTACTATTTGCTGATGGTCTGTTTCTGAAGTTTCAAGTGGGCCTGCTTGCTGGGGTTGAACATCTTGTTTTTCCTTGACCGTTTCAATTTCTTCAAGGATTAGAGTTCCCGTTTGAATAGCAGAATGCCCATCATCTAATCCAAGTTCTACTGAAATCACTTTCTCTCCAGAAGTTATGCTATTGCTCACATTTGATTCACAGACTTCATCACCATCTTTCCGTGAGATGCCTTCACTTAGATCCTGGGTTGACTTAGCCTTTGTTGCCTGATCATTCAATGGGGTCTGTGTTTGTATATCCAAAATTTCAGCTTCTTCCTGGACTTTGATGCTGCAGTCTGAGTCTTCTATAATTTTGGAATGATTACTCCTTTTTGGCCCTCTTGGGAATTTTATGCAGGGAATCTTAAGTCTAGATTTTGCCTTTTTCTTAGAAAGATCAGCATCCTCAGTGTTTATTGCAGGTTGCACTTCAGCCTCCAATAACTTTTGCTGCTTTGAAGACTCTGACCTTTTCCTGCGTGTTACAAGACGTTTGAGTGAGGCCCAGGCCCCCCGTGGGGGCTCTGGCTGATCAGAAGCTCCTGCTTCTTGGGGACACTTCCTTGCCACATCAGCAGCTTCAGAGCCAACTTTGGGCTTCAGTGCTTTAGCTGCTTTCTTTCTTCTCTTGAAGCAAAGCATGGATGCCTTTTCCTTCTGTCTTTCAGCCCCAGGACTACCTTCTGCTGATCTCTTCTCATCCTTGTTTTCTACATGAATTTCTGAAACTGTGGTTTCCATTTTTACACTGTACTCTTATTCTCTAGAAAACTATATTCTCTCTTCCTTAGCAGCCTTTTGTGACAAAAAGATGGGCAAAAATGTCACACTAGGTAAAATTTCATCCAGGCATATTCATACCTTTCATCTTACTCCATACAGTTGTTTTAGGTGGTTTCTCTAGTATAGAAATGCCCAGTTTCTCTATTGCTTGTAATTTCTCTCTTTAATTTCTTGATGAAAGCCCTTTCTTGAATAAATTTTTGCTTTATTTAAAGATCAACCTGATGAGAGAAAAGAAAGTGGTATTTTATTTCACTATGAGCCTATTATTTTCTATGGAGACTATTTCAGCTGAATGTATAAGATTCTACCAGGCATATTTTCCATATAATAATGAAATGACTGGAGAATAAACGTTGGGGTTTACTTTGGCCCTATTAAAGAGTTCAATGTGATTCTATTGTTTTATCCTCTTTGTTGAAACTTCATTTTGGATTACCCTGCAAGTCTGATATTATTAGTTCTTTAGTTGTGTTGTCTGTGTGAATTGCTTATGGCTCTAAAGTGCAAATTAAGCAAATAACAGGAAGAACAAAAAATGAAGTGCAGGATGAAAAACAAGCTAATGTATTTTTTATCACACTCAATAAATAATTTTAAAGCTGCAAAGGACTTTAGAGATTATTTGAGATTACTCAAATCCAGCCAGATGACAAAACTGAACTCCAGAGGGGAGCAATTGTCTTGTTAAAAGCCATGCAGCTAGATAAGGTCATAGCCAGAGTTAGAACTAGAGACTTTGACTCTCTAGTTTTTCCATTATAACATAAGGTTTCTGTTCTAAAAATGTATGTTCCATCAAGGAAGTGCTACTTTTCATACATATTCTTAGGAAAATTTAGCATTACTGTCATTTCCCACTCTTAAATTAGTTGTATAATTTTGACATTTTCATTTAAGTACTGTATTTGCTGTATCACATGTTTCCACCATAATCTGCACATAGTTGGAGGTCAGTAAGAGTAACAATAGCTGACATTTATTGAGCAATTCTTGGGTATTAGGCGGTGCACACACTTTTACATACATCTGTAATCCTCACCACAGTATTACAAAGATGGTGGTATCACCATCTACAGATGAAGCAATTTGGCTGAGATTAAGGCAGAGCTGTAACAGAGCTCAGATTAAACAAAAGATTGCTTGTTGCTTAAAGCTTATGTTCTGAAACTGGGCTTTAAGAGTTTCATCAGAAAATGGATTGTTTGGGGATACTAATCTGCAGTATATTCATTAGTAAAAAAATTTAAAAATTGATTAATGGTCATTTAATCACAAGGCACTTATCAACTCATAATTGAACCAAGAGTAGTCTGAGTTCTTGTTATTTGAAAACCAAGCTTTTGAAATTCTTTAAGCCGGGCACGGTGGCTCAAGCCTGTAATCCCAGCACTTTGGGAGGCTGAGACGGGCGGATCACAAGGTCAGGAGATCGAGACCATCCTGGCTAACACGGTGAAACCCCGTCTCTACTAAAAAATACAAAAAACTAGCCGGGCGAGGTGGCGGGCGCCTGTGGTCCCAGCTACTCCGGAGGCTGAGGCAGGAGAATGGCGTAAACCCGGGAGGCGGAGCTTGCAGTGAGCTGAGATCCGGCCACTGCACTCCAGCCTGGGCGACAGAACCAGACTCAGTCTCAAAAAAAAAAAAAAAAAAGAAATTCTTTATATTTTGCTTTTTCGGTTCAGGAACTAATTTAACAGCCAAAAATAGGTTGATAAACTATGCAATTGGCAAACTGTTAGATAATACAAAGGTGTATTGAAAATTTAATCCTCAGAATGGTATGATGGCACCAAAGAATGGAAATGGGAAGTGATTATCTAACAAAGATCCTATGAATTTTAGTGGGTGGATGCCCTAAAATAAGCAAAGGGACTCATTCTTTATATTGTTTTTATGTAAATCCTTCACTGAAGTTTCATGTGGGTAACCCATAATTTTATGAACTGTGGAAAGAACTGGAACCCTGAAAATCAGTTTATGATCTAAGTAAATATTCTCTTAGGTTGGGTGTTTCATACTGTATGCCTCTAACAGAAAGATAAAGTCATTCTAGAACAATGACGGAACTAAAATATGGACATTTGACAGTGTTTCTCCTCACATTTATGTTTCAGTGAGCACTAGAACCTCAGCTGATAACTCTGTTTAAATCTTCTCACCTCTTGTGAGTTTTCAACACCTGAGCACTTTTGTTAAGCAGAGGCTGTATTACCACATAATAGAAATATTGAAATGAGATGTTCAGGAGTGTATCATTTGAAACTAACGTGGATTGCGCAAAGACAATGGTTTGAGAAGCTCACTTGAATGTGTCTCACACACTAGAAATAAAACGAATGCCCAAACAGAAACTTAACTGAAGGGGGAAAATAATGCAGTCTGTAGACATTAAAACTTTGCAGAATGTCAGACTGCAAAGGATTCGCTCTTAACCAGCAAGGGTAGCTTTATCGCCTCAGGAAATCTTAAAGTCCCTGTGCTCATTTCCTGATAGAATTTCAAGTCTCATGTCACAGAAAACACTCCCTTTCCTTTTTCCCTTAAGCAGCAAAGAACATCCACTACCCGAGGAAAGCAATGCATCTTTCCCAGCACCAGATATGGACCACGAAGGTTCCTCCTGGAGGAAGGAATCTCGAATTCTGGCTTGACGCCCCTTATGGCAGGAGACAGAGCGCAGGATAAAGTACTCAAAAAGGAAAATGCCGGGGGCGTGGAACAGATAACCCAGCTTCAAGCTGTCTGCAGAATTATAATGTAATGGCCAGAAACCCAGAATCACATTTCGCAAAGAGGGATAAAGAAGGAAAAAAGCCACCGGCAACCCATGCTTCTAAGACAAGCTGTAACGCGAAGGTGATAGGTGGGCAGACCTGATGAGGGTCGTCCTGGCCGCGGATTCCTGCGGACAAGCGACCTCCCGCGTTCTTACTCCCAGCACCTCAGGGGGCTCACATCCCCCATGTCCAGTGGGCGCCTCTTGCCCACTCCGCGGTCCGCTGACCGGACACTGCCCCCGACCCTCCTCTCCAGCAGGCTCCCCGCCCTGCCTTTACTCACGTAAGGCGTCGGGGTCCTTGGCCAACACTGCTCCCAAGGTGGCGGCGCGCTCGCGGGGCCCGGCGCCCAGGCCTCCAGGGAGCCGAAGCAAGGCGCCCTCTGCAGAGCCCGCCGCCAGGTGCGCCCCCTCCCCACCGCGCGGGGACAGACAGCCCGCAGAGCCAATGCGAGCGGAGCGGAGCCGAGCGGGCGGGCAGGGGCGGGGCGACGCGGGAGGCGGGGGGCGGCACGGAAGCCGGGACCCACCTGCAGCAGCAGCCTGCCTGCCGCGGGGAAGGCCACCGTGCTCCGCCTGGGCGCCAATCTCCGCCGCCAGACTACATTATCGCCGAGGCGGGGACCGCGAGAGCCAGCCGAAGGCTCGGGGAGGGGTGGGGGGCGGAGGGAAGGCGGGGAGCGGCCAGGGCAATGAACCCCGCGTTTCTGAGACGCTAAATGGTGAGGTCCAGTTTCAAATTATAGACAGTCCTGTTACACATGTCCTCTCCTACCCCTCAGAATATTTAAAGACAAGGCAGACATCGCATTTTAAAAGCAGGATTCAAAACTGTGTATGGAATAGCGAGGTCATTTTTGTTTGAAGCGAAAATTACATATAGAAATGGAAACAGAAAGAAACCCGACTTTCTCAGGAGTGACTTGAGTATAAGATCATCGTAGGCCGGGCGCGGTGGCTCAAGGCTGTAATCCCAGCACTTTGGGAGGCGGAGACGGGCGGATCACGAGGTCAGGAGATTGAGACCATCCTGGCTAACACGGTGAAACCCCGTCTCTACTAAAAAATACAAAAAAAAAGTAGCCGGGCGAGGTGGTGGGCGCCTGTAGTCCCAGCTACTCGGGAGGCTGAGGCAGGAGAATGGCGTAAACCCGGGAGGCGGAGCTTGCAGTGAGCTGAGATCCGGCCACTGCACTCCAGCCTGGGCGACAGAGCGAGACTCCGTCTCAAAAAAAAAAAAAAAAAAAGATCATCGTGGTTCATCGCTAAACAGGCTCTCAGACCTTTGTCTCCCAGTGGGAAGCAGGTGGAGGTGATTCGTGCAGAACTTTGGCCTGCAGGAGCAGCTGCATCTCTATGCGGACAAGGCGAGAAAGGCACGGCAACCCAGCTCCATCCATCTTATATCTTACATAGTTCCAAAAATAAGTTGAGGTAGCTTACAAGTTACCCATGATTCCCTTCAGGACATTCCCTATGAGGGCATTCCTGGGAGCTCCAGCTGTAAAATCCAGTAGGATCCATCACAATCCCAGCCTCCTCCTCAGGCCCTCACAGCATAGCATCCAGATGAAGAACCTGGTAAGGTGCAGTGAAGAACTACTGAAAAGCAGCCGCGTTCATCTCCTTTCTTCAAGAGGATCACGATCTTAGGGAGTGTAGATGTCAGGTGTCCATTTTTGTATGTTTTTTTGGAAATGTTTTATATTTGTAAGGTTCCATAGTTTCCACATAGGCTTATCACGGAAAGAACTCTTGGGACACAAAAGCAAAGCCAAATATAAACAAACTGTCAAGATCTTAAATTTACAGATAAAAGAGGCAAGAGTTGTAAAACAGGAAAATCCACAAGCATCTAGTTTAGTTGTAATTAAGAATTCAGGGCCGGGTGCAGTGGCTCACACCTGTAATCCCGGCACTTTGGGAAGCCAAGGCAGGAGGATGGCTTGAGTCCAAGAGTTTGAGACCAGCCTTGGCAACATAGGGAGACAAAAAAAATTTAAAAATTAGCTGGGCATGGTGGTGCACCTATGGTCCCAGTTACTCAGGAGCTCAGGAGGCTGAGATGGGAGGATCACTTGGGCCCAGAAGGTCAAGGCTGCTGTAAGCCACTACTATACCACTGCACGCCAGCCTGGGCAACAAAGTGAGACCCTGTCTCAAAAGAAAAAAAAAAAAAATTCAGTCAGCCTTCTTCACTCAGCAAACACGCCTACAGAAATGGTCTTCGTATCTCTCTATGGGTTGTTAGCCCTACTTGTTGCCAGTGTTGAACTTTAAGCCAAAAGAAATACATTATACTCATAAGCAATTGAGAACTATTCTTTATTGAGATCCAAGGTATCTCAAAACTAGCAGTCCTGGGAGTTTGCAAGAGTTTCAGGCAAAAAATAAGATGAGCTTATTTAAGTGAAGACAGGGTAGAATAGCTGTCTTATTTTTATTTGAGACAGGGTCTTGCTCTGTTGCCCAGGCTGGAGTGCAGTGGTACAATCCCTGGCTCAAGCAATCCTCCCACCTCAGCCTCCCATGCAGCTGGGACCACAGGTATGCGACCACATGCCCAGGTTCTTCTTTTTTTTCTTTGTAGAGATGGGGTCTCCCTATGTTGCCCAGGCTGGTCTTGAACTCCTGAGCTCAGGTCTTGAACTCCTGAGCAATTCTCCTGCCTTGATCTCCTGAAGTACTAAGATTACAAGTGTGAGCCACCACGCCCGGCCTTCACTTGGCTTTCTTTTAAACAGAATTAGTAAAAGGGAACTGAAAGGCAGTTTGAGGTAAGAGGTGAATTAATTTAGTATTTAAAGGGCAAATTCAGACAGACTTCCTTAAGGTATATTACAAACAAGTCATCCCTGACCTCCACCAACAGACATACACACACAGAGTCACTCACACACTATAACATAGCGCACCATGGTTTTTCTTTAGGATATGACTAGAACTCTGCTATATCTGTATGTGTGTGTGTTTAATGTATCCAGTACCTCATGCATGAAAGAAACCTGTCATTCCTGAATTCAGGTAAGTGACAACGAAGGCTGTTTAAGCTATTACCCATATCATTGTCTACTACCCCATTAGTAGCTTTTCATTATATAACAGGAAATAGGCTATAAATATATTTCTCCAATCTGATGAGAAATTGGTATCCAGACTATAGCTTATCATGTTAATATCACCAGATACAGTGTGCCAATAAAATAGCTTACATATTTATCTGAACAATACTCTACTGATCTTACCATTTCTCCCATCTTGATCTCTACCTACCCACTGCCTGGGCCTATAGCTACCAAAAATGACTTACAACTCCTTGTTAATAGCTCTTACATTTCAGAGGCCTTCTGGGAGTAAGCCCTTCAACCCCGTTCCCTGGGATGCCATTGAATGAACCTGAGGCTCCAAGTCTCTGGTGGTTTCATCTATTCCTGGGCACCATGAGGGTGCACAGAGTCAACACAAACTCAGTAGTAATACTGTTGCAATCTGTTTAATGTGGCAGCACATGAATGTTATCTCTTTTGAATTAAGACTGTATGTACATCTTCAATGCACAGAAACAGTCTCTGAAGTGAGATCACAGAATGCACAATTTGTTTATCAGTAATATTACTAATATGGGGAAGGAAGGCATTAGCAGCCCAGAGAAGAGAAAGGGCACGGGGAAGGCACTCTCTGGAGGGACTCTTAGCACCAAGGTGAAGGCACTAGACCTTCTCTGCCAGCACATGCTAATAGTTACCCCAAGCACGAGTGCTTCTATAGTTCTTTTTTATTTTGACAGAGGGTCTTGCTTTGTTGTGCAGGCTGGAGTGCAATGGCTCAGTCATAGCTCACTGTGGCCTCCAACTCCTGGGCTCAAGCAAACCTCTCACATCAGTCTCCCAAGCAGCTAGGACTACAAGCGTGCACCACACACTCAGCTGAATTTTGGGGTTTTGTTTTTTGTAGAGATGGGGTCTGACTTGTCCAGGTTAGTCTTGAACTCCTGGGCTCAAGTGATCCTCCTGCCTCAGCAGCCTGGACAAGACAGTGAGACCCCATCTCTACAAAAAACAAAACTCCAAAACTCAGCTGAGTGTGGTGGGATTACAGGTGTGAGCCACCATGCCCAGCCCCTACCAGTATTGAGGATTTAAACCCACGTGGTTTTTGGCAATATAAGAAAACCTAAATCCTTTAAGATGATCTTTAAGTCACCATATCTAACAAGACTGCATCCTTCCCTTGTCTATAAAATTAATTCCCAGCAAATCCCATTCCAGGTGAAGTTTCATAGGACATTTAAGAGATGTACTAGAAAGCAGTCGGGCACAGTGGCTCACGCCTGTAATCCCAGCACTTTGGGAGGCCAAGGTGGGAGGATCACTTGAGGCCAGGAGTTTGAGACTAGCCTGGCCAACATGGCAAAACCCCATCTCTACTGAAAATACAAAAAGTTAGCCAGGCATGGTGGTGCGAACCTGTAATCCCAGATACTTGGGAGGCTAAGGCGGGAGAATCACTTGAACCTGGGAGGCAGAGGTTGCAGTGAGCCGAGATCACTACACTCCAGCCTGGGCAACAAAGCACGACTCTTGTCACCCCCACCAGAAAAAAAAAAGTACCAGAAGCAATTAACTGTGCAAACAGGGCCTGGATGATGCTTTGCAACAGGAACTGACAAGTGCTTACAATGTGCCGGGCCCTGTACAAAGCATCTTAGATGATGTGTTTGAGTAATTCCAGAACCGCCCTCACGAGGTAGGTACCAACAGTGCTCCTATTTCCATGGTGAGGATGTGGAGGCAGGGAGGTGGGTGAGGCTCTGCGCCACAGAGCTGGGGCTCTGCATTGTGACCCCTTTGCCATATGCCTCTCAAGGCACTGCTATCATTTCTGTGGACTGTAAAATTGACTGTATTACAACATTGATGTGGACCTAGGGAATTAAAAATAATAAAACCAAGGTCACTGGGAAAAATACTGCTCTGCCAACATCAGCAGGGTTTAGCACTGGCACCAGTGACATGCAGCATACTCTGGAAGGATCCAGTGGAGGAAGGCAGAGGGGAAAAGGGAAGGAAACAAATGGGAGAGGAAGAACAGAGATAGAAGATAAAGAACAAGAAGAGAAGGAAAAATATTTTCTTTTATTTTTTTAGACAGAGTCTAGCTCTGTCTCCCAGGTTGGAGTGTAGCAGCATGATCCTAGCTTACTACAGCCTCTGACTCTTGGGTTCAAGCAATTCTCGTGCCTCAGCCTCCCAAGTAGCTGGGATTATAGGTGCCTGCCACCACACCCAGCTAATTTTTGTATTTTTGGTAGAGACAGGGTTTTACCATGTTGGTCAAGCTGGTCTTGAACTCTGGACCTCAAGTGATCCGCCCACGTAGGCCTCCCAAAGTCCTGGGATTATGGGCATGAGCCACCACCACGCCCAGCCAGAAGAG